GAAGAGGAAGAGGAAGAGGAAGAGGAAGAGGAAGAGGAAGAGGAAGAGGAAGAGGAAGAGGAAGAGGAAGAGGAAGAGGAAGAGGAAGAGGAAGAAGAGAAAAAAACTGAAGGGAAGAGGAAGAAGCTGCTAGATAAAACTAAGAAAAAAATGAAAAGTCAAAAGGGGAAGTATATACAGACTATATCCTTATATACATATAAACAGAATAAATAATTACASAGAGAAAGGATTAAATTAAGAAAAAATAAGAGAAAAAAAAGGGGAGGAAGTAAAAAGAAAAAGGGTAGGGTGTCTGGGTGTCCCTCATCAGCTGAAGGAGAGTGTGGATCCGTTGCCATCCCGAGCCCGGCGGTTCTGGTTATCCCAGCAGATGGCGGTGCCGCCCTGCTCATCCCCTCCGCACACCTCGGAAAAGCAATTTCCAGACCTGCCCGCTCAATCCTCCGCTCATGAAATACATTTAAAGGYTTCAGCTCCTGCTCTAATGCTCACCCGGGGAATTCCTGGGCAGGATGTTCTCATCTCCCGTTATTGGCRATAGTTTTGGGGCCAGGCAGGAGGCAGATAAATGGCCCCGGTGGAGAAAAGGTGAATATGTTTAGGATTTATTCCCTCTCTCTGCAGTAAATTTCTGTGTCCTGAATGACTGATAGTATCGGTTTGGGGTTTAAAAAAAAAAAGAAATCATGGAGCCAAGTGTCAAAAGTTTAAGAAAACAGAAATGATGGAAGAAAAGAGATTCTGTTTCAAATGGTGTTTGCAGAACCTCGCTGTGCGTGGGGGGGATTTTCCTGTGAGGAGCCGGCCTGGTTGGTCCAAGGAATTGTTCCTGGAAAACGGGAATAATTTAGGGAGGATAGCAGCGCTGGGAAAGGAGTGGAGAGCATCCCATGGGGAACGGGGAGTGCTGAGGGATCAACAATTCCACACCCTGTGGGATCAACAGCCCCCAGAGCTCCAAAATCCCATGAACCAGGTGCCCAAACCCCGCTGGGAATCCCGGAGGGATCAGCCCTGCTGGAAACCACCAGTGAGGATAAAAAAAAAACCCATTCCTGCCCTCTGCCAGCCCTCTGCTGACGCACAGACAGCTCCAGGATGCTCTGGAGGTTCCAATTAAATCCACAGGGATGAGGGACACTCCTGTCCTCTCCTGATAACCGGGAACGTAAATCCCGGGGGAGCAGAGCTCAGCGAGGCAGCGGCAGCAGCTCCACGCTCCCAGATGGGTGCCAGGGTAAGGGAAMCTTTTCCAGAGAAAGGGGACAGGGTTTGTGCTGGAGAGGTTAAAATACATTTTAATTTCCTCTGCTTTATCTCTCTTAAATTTATTTCTATTTCTGTTTTYTCTGGCGTTAATTCTGGTGTTTGGTATTGCCCGGGAGGTGCCACAGAAAGCAGCCCCGTTCTCCAGCTCGTGTGGCACTTCCCCGTGGTGACAAAGCGTTTGGAGTGTTTGCTTTTTATAAYTAAAACCCGACAGCCCTCATTGCCTGGGATTTCAGGAAAGCCCAGGATTAYTGGGGAGAGGGAGAGCTCGGACTCAGCTCTGTTAATTTTGCCTCTGCCGTTCCCGAGAGCTGAGGGAACATTAATGGCCAATTGTTTGGTTTAATGCAAATTTTGGAGGGGTATTTTTTGGGAGTGATGTTTCCTCGATCTCCATCACATCTGTGAGGCTTTGAAGCGCCGCGTCTCGCCCTGACATTTCAATCGGGTCGAATCCAAAAGACACGGCAGGTAAATGAATTTCCTTCGAGGCCCCAATCGAATCTCCAAAGAACAAACACGGAATAAAAGATGTCGAGATTACCTCGGATAAGCTGAGGTTGATCTGTGCTCGGAGYCTCTGGGAGGACACTTAAACGATGCCTTGAAGCGGGTACAAGAYGTCTCAGGAGAGAGGGAATGGTTGGAGAACGCTCCAGCTGTGAATTTAAAAGCAGGATTGATGAAAA